AGATACAGAAGTCCTCGTCGTCAAGAATTACAAGAATGCAACTGCTGGTATGAAGCTTCACGAAAACACAAGCAAGTTTAAAATTGAAAAGGATGCAATATCGCAGGGAGTTATTCATAATCGCCATAGTAGAGAAAATCCATTGGAAAACTCAGGGGCTGGACACTAACGAAACCAGCTGTGATTTACGAACCAAATTCTGATTTTCTCAAGGGCATCAGAAGAACTTCAACGAAGGATCCGAGAGCAGAATGATGTCCGTATGAAAGTAGGACAGAAAATGTACCTGAATACAATAGGTCATGTATAACAAACATGATCACGCGAACTGTTGAAGAAAAACGGACTTTGTCTTGAATAAGTGACTGAAGGAGAACTTCTATCAGGGACAACTTATCAGAGAACCAAAAGCATTCGATCAATGTTTGCTCCAAGAGCCAAACTATGCATGAGAAATGTAGTTCCTCAGTCTGAAAGCTATTTAAAAACTGCAGACTACGCAAGGCAGCATCGAAAGATGATGAATGTTGGAAATAACAAGAAAAGATAGTAAGACGAATGAATGGGTAAGAGGACAAACAACAGTCTGTAATTTCATTGTCTGCGTACACAGAAGCTAAAGTGTCAATAGACGGAAACTTTCCGGCAAGATCTCATTACTGTACCAGATAGGTATTAGAATGGGTTCCAAGACGGAGTAAACGACCGATATGGAGAATCCACATCGATAGCAAGATGAATTGAAGTTCGCTGAATCAAGATGGACGAAAATGGCAGAAACAAGTCTATGGCAGAGTCTTGGAGAGGCCTTCATCCAGCAGTTAATCAACAAAAGCTGATGACAGTGATCGTAGTGAACATACTTTCTATCGGTTAGATTTCATAAAGCTGGACTACTCAATCGATCAGACTTTGTCGGCCATAAATAACAATGACAAGAGCGCATATTTAGACTGTCAGGTGCGCTGAAAGTTAAGACTGTGCACCATGACTGAGTGGAATAATTTATTATAACTAATAAAAGTAAGGACAAGACATTTGTGCAAAACTAGCAAAATAAAAAAAGCATTGTACCTTTCTGATCTGGAATTGGAATTAACCAGTCGTCCTTTGGGTCTTTTACTCTCCGGAAGCCGTAACGTGGCTTCCACTCCTAAAATGAAATGCTTAATATCATC